AAGGGGGCGAGCCCCCCGCGGGGGCCGCGGACCCCTCAGATCCCTCGGAGCCCGCCCTGCCCAGCGCCCACACCCGGTGCCCGGCCGCGACCCCTTCCTCCGCGCCCTCTGACCCCTGACCCTTACCCTCTCCCACGGGCCAAGCCCTAGCACCCTTCGGATTCTTACACGCGACGCCCCGGGAACCCGGACCGCACACCAGGGTCCGCAACGCGCAGCCCAGGCCGCCGGCGCCGCCGCCAAAACCCGGAGCTCTTGCAACTACCACAGCGGCCACCACTTCAGCCGCGGCCACCACGGCAGCTGCGCCAGCTCAGCCCCCGCCTGGCGTCCCCTCCACCCCACCGGCACCGCCCCATTTCCCCTTCGCTGCCGCCTATTGGGCACCTGGGCTGCCATGTCGAACTCTGATTGGTCAATCTTCCCGTCCTTCCCCAATCTCGCCCACTGCAGATGCAGGACTCGTTGCCCGCCTCCCTGGGAGGGGGCGGGACTAGGAAGCTCCACCCTTCCCCCCCTCCCTCCCAATTTCCCCGCCTCACTTGTTCAGCCTAACCCAGACAGAGCCCCGAGGCTTTTAATTGGTGAAACGTGAGCCAGACCGTGGTTCTGATTGGCCTGATCGCAGGAGGTGGTGCCACAAGGGCGGAACGAGAAAGTGAATGGTGGAACGGAAGGTCAGTCAAACACTGAGTCCCGCCTTCCGGACTTGGCGGGTAACTTAGCAACGCCGAGACCACAGAGATTAGTGTGGGTAGAGGAACTTGGGTGAGTAACCAGGTGGGAAGGGTTGAGGCTGAGGGAAAGGTGGGTGAGCACCAGTACCCCGACGCTGCCCCCACCCGGCTCAGGGCCCGCCAGCACCACAAGCCATCCTCCTTTGGCCCTGTCCTCTGCCTCTCCTACTGTGGCCACCTGCTGGGTCCCCTAACGGGCATGGTACCCCTCCTGTGGCAGCGCAGGTAAACGTAGAAGTGGGGGTGAAAGGGCGGTTTTACACCCCCCCTCCAGCCATCCATGCAAGGACTGTGGGATAGCATGCTATGGACTGCATCTTAAATTGAATATAAGATGTTTATCTCATATTATTAGTAGTAGTAATAGTAGTAATAATTGTGCTTGTCTTGGGACTTGAACTCAGGGCCTCGGTGCTGTCCCTGAGCTTTTTCACTCAAGGCTAGTGCTCTACCACTTGACCCACAGCTCCACTTCTGGTGGTTCATTGGAGATAAGAGTCTCACAGACTTTCCTGGGAGATAAGAGTCTCTCAGACTTTCGTGCTCAGGCTGGCTTTGAACTGGGATCCTCAGATCTCAGCCTTCTGAGTAGCTAGGATTATAGTCGTGAGCCACCAGCCATCATCATCATCATGATAATTTACATTAATAGCGTTTGAACTCAGGGTTGGTGTGCTATTTGAGCTACACACACACCTGTCTCTTCCCTCCCTCCTTCCCCCCCCCCCCACTCCACAGCCTTTTTTGCTTTAGTTTATTTCTCAGGTAGAAACCACTGGTGCCCAACATGAACATTCTCTTTATTTGTATATTTTATTTTTAGTGTTTGAACTCGTGCTTGCTAGAAAGGCACTCTAGCACTGAGCAACACCACTAGGCTTCCATTGATGATGATGTTATTCTGATTATTCTAAAGAGAGTCTCACTTCTTGCACAGGAACTGGCTGGACCCATCTCAGTTTTCCTATCCTAGTTGGAATCACAGGGCCTTACTCCAACACCAAACTTCTTCTATGGAGATAGAGTCTCATGGAATTTCCTTCCCTGGCTGGCCTAGAACTGGAATCCTACTCTACTCACTGACTGAATCCTCTTCCCTCTGGACCACCCAACCACAGAGTCGGTCTTACTCTCCTGTCATTCATTTTTTAGTGTATATTAATTGTTCCAAAAGGTTTCACCATGGTATTTCACACCGGCATGTATTCTGTTTTATTCACAAGACCCCTCCTTTCTTGCTTTCTTGCTTCCTTCCCCTCCCACACCTATTGATTAACAGCCAGATTTCTTACACCATATTTGTACATGAGTGCAATTAATTTTTTTTAACTCAGAGCCTTGCACCCTCCCTTAGATTTTTTTTGGGGGGTCCGGTTATGGGGCCTGAACTCTGGGCCTGGGCGCTGTCCCTCAGCTCTTCAGCTCAAGGCTAGAACTCTACCACTTGAGCCACAGCGCCATTTCCGGCTTTTTTCTTTTTGCTTATGTGGTGCTGAGGAATTGAATCCAGGGCCTCAGGCATGCAAGGCAAGCACTCTACCACTGAGCCACCTTCCCAGCCCCTCTCCCTTAGATTTTTGACTCAAGGCTGGCGCTCTGACACTCCATCCACAGCTCCACCTCCGGCTTTTTACTGGTTAATAGGAAATAAGAGTTTCATGGATTTTCTTATCCAGGCTGGCTTCCAACCATGATCCTCAGATCTCAGCCTCCTGAGTAGCGAGGATGACAGTGTCCAGCCACTCTGTTCTTAATTCCCTCTCACTTCCCCACATATCTGGGCACTGGGGTTCTTCTCTTTTTTTCTCTCTCTTCAAGGAGAAAAAATTATATTTCATTTAGCTCATCTTTTTTTTTCTTCAAAATGTTCTGAGAGCAAAAGTAATAAAATATCCAACAGACCTATTTGAATGAAGCTGAGGTGTAATTTGCATGATAAAGATATATTTCCATTTATAAAGTTCATCAGCAGAATTAATGACAAATAAGGGAAGATCCAATTAAACTTCGCCATCTATTAACAATCTTGCCTCGCTCTCGGGGGCAGGAGTTTTAAAAGGAGAGGCTGAAGTTGGAAATGAATTAAATATTAAGGTTGGCAGCATTCAAAAGGACACGAGACAATCAAGAATTCAAGGAAAAGACAGTGTGATTTTGGTCAGCATGGTCAAATGCATTCTCCACCCCCCAATCTTAGTCACCTTCTTTCCCCCCTTCCCACCCCCCTCCCCCCCACCCCCACCCCCACACTTTTACATCTTCAGGCAAATGAGCTGTCAGGAACCAATAGTTGTCATTATAATCAAAGAAAACAAGTTTGCCCTTTAAAGCAAAAAGAGGTAATTTGGCTGAAAGCAAATTGGAAGCATTTTTTTTTTTTACATTGTTGCATTTCCAGCCTCGATCTGGGAAAGATTCCGGGGGTTTTGATTTATGCCTGAGAGCTTTGAGGGGACAACGGGGAGAGGCTCATCCATTAAATACTTTGTTCACGTTCTTTCCCACAGCCTGGGGGGCAAAGATCCTTCATCCTGTGAGAGGCTGGGGAAGCTCTGTGGCTGTCCAGCAAACTTTATTGTCAGGAAAAGCCTCCAAGGGACTCGGCCATCGATTGGGGAAGCAGGAATTGGGAGGGGTTGAAAGCAGCATCAAATAATGCCCTTCTTGGCCTCCTTCCCCAGATCCCCTCAGCCTCAGGAGGCTGATTTGGGGTCCTCTGGCCTAGTTAAGGACCTGCCTTAGCATCTGGTCTGGCCTGCTTGTCTTCCTTGTTCTTAGTCACACTGGGTATTTATCTGATTCCCTCTCCCTTTCACCATTTATTCCTGGGGATTTCAACGATTATTTCCTGAAGGCCCCTCTGCTGGTGTGTTGTGAGTTGCCTGTGGTGGTTACACAGTTCTATTGCAAGCAACAGAACCTGACTGGCTGAGCCAGTCCCAGAGACTCTTATCTCCCATTGACCAGCAACCTGCTGTAAGTTGAGTTGTAGCTCAAAGTGGTAGAGCATCAGCCTTGAGCCGGAAAAAGCTAAGGCACAGTGAGGGCTCTGGCCCTGAGTTCAAGCCCTAAAACAGGCACAATTTGTTTTAAAGGCTTCTACACGTAGTTTGATGTGGTAGGAGTGCAGAGATATAAATTATTGGGCTTTCCAGAAAATCCTTAAACAAGTTGTTGTTGTTTTTAATTTGGTAGATTTATAGAAGTATCTGCAGACAGCAGAGTCCCTATATTCCCTTCCTTCAGCTCCCCCTAATGTTAGCTTCGTGTATAAACATGCTAAGAACTCCAGGAGCCAGGCTCGCCCTTGTCATAATCCTAGCTACTCAAGAGGCTGAGACCTGAGGGTAGAGGTTTGAAGCCAGCCCAGATAGGAAGCCTGTGAGACTCATATCACCAACAAAAGCTGGAAGTGGAGAGGTGGCTCAAGTGATAGAGTGCTAGCTTTGAGCACAAAAACTCAGGGACAGTACCCAGACCCTAAGTTAAAGCCAGAACACACGCGAATGTGTACACACATACACAAAATGACAGCATGCTGTTCTAGTGTCTGGCTCTTTGCTCTATTATTTGCTGTGTTGGATATCTGCTCCCTGCTGGTGCCTGGCCCAGGGTCACTGTCCGGCAGCTTCCTGGTAGGCTGGCCAGCAGGAGGCATGGGTGGTGGGAAGAGAGGAAGAAGAAGTCCCTGTTTTCCCAGCTTCTATTGGGGCAGCTCTTCTCTGGGAGCTAATGGCTGGGGTTTGAGCTCCACCTTGACCTGAGGCCTGAGCTCACCACTTCCTCCTGGCCAGTAGTTTTCTGCTAGACAGGGCTTCGCCTTCTCACAGTTACCTCTCCTCCACCTTCCATTTTTCTTTTCTTTTTGTCCATCCTGGGGCTTGACCTCAGGGCCTGGACACTGTCCCTCAGCTCTTTCTCTCAAGGCGAGTGCTCTCCCCCTTGAGCCACAGCTCCACCTGCGGTTCCTTGGTGGTTCATGGGAGTTAAGAGTCTCACAGACTTTCCTGCCCGGACTGGCACGTTGAACTGCCATCCTCCTCCTGAGTGGCTAGGATGACAGGCGTGAGCCACCGATGCCTGGTTCTCCGCCACTTTTCTATCACTTTTCAGGATGTGACGTGACCCCTGCCTGGCACAAGCAACTGAGACCCTCTTTCTCCCCTCCTCACACACCCCCATCCTGCCGGCTTGGGACCCCAGGTGCTGCCACCGAGCTGAAGCCCGCCTTTGCTGAGAGGTCCTCCCCTACGGCATGGCCACCATGGCCACCCTAGCCACAGCAGATGCCGCCACGTCTCTTAAAGTGCCACTGCTTCCTTTGCAGGGCTGCCAGAGACCCTAAGAGCCCGAGACCCAGCCAGTCAGCCACCACCTTGGGAAGCAGGCTGCCGGTGGGATGGCCCTGGGCGTATTCGGCGTGACCCCACTCTACGAAGGCTGGGACATCAGCAGAATTCGGCTGAAGACAGAGGAGCCTCTGAAGCCGGCTCACCCACTGGGGCCTCTGGTCCCACCCAAGACCAAGCTCACCACCATCGAGACTAAGCGCATCATGTCGGTGCTCGACGAGACCATCTACAAGGTGGAGCTGATCAGC